ATTACCGATATAAGTCAATTACTTGTTGCGAACAATGAATTGCGACAAACTTGAATAATCCCAAACTGATTAGCGGGTTTCGCCAACGTGATAGTCAAGTAATAAACCGATAAATCAAAACCACATGAATAGGTTTCTTGATAGCTTCAATATGAGAATGATTAGCCCTGTCCCGTCTTATTGGAAAGTATACGAGTACTTAAGCATGTAGTCCATTTCACGTTTAGTGTAAGCAAGAAAAATATAACGCCCGACGAAGAAAAAATCGTTACATGTAATAAAGGGAAAATTACAATCGAATTTATAAGTTACTTTGTGTAAGTGGAAAATTGAAATTATTTAAATAAAACAACTAAAGATTTAAATAATAAATATCTTTAGACATTATTTGATTCTTAGTCAGTGCAGTGGAGACGCTTCTTGTCATTGTCGTTCCCGTAGAACTTAGAATAGAAAGAAAAAATACAAGTTTTTCTGTGCTCTATAGGCGCTTACGACTCACCATATTATGAGTCATCCTCGAGAACTCCTTGCCATTCATAGGTGCTCGAAGTATTAAAAAATTAAAAATAAATAAATAGTGTAATTCGTGCGAATTAAAATGATACCAGATGGCCAATTCTATTACTTCGAAAATGAAATTTCGTCACTTCTCAAATGCTAATACGACTTCAAATAAACACATTCTTCGATAAATTTATGAGGCGTCGGAGGTGTCACTGTCTCTGACACATAGATAATCTTAACGGATAAGGTTTAAACAAAAATAAGAATGATTCGAACTTTTGCGAATTTTCTTCGAGAATAATATTCTATTTGTTCTCGAGCGAACATTCGGCCTTCAGGCAATGTTCATTCTGTTTAATCAACATTCATCATCGACAGCATGTATTGATACGATATAAAAAAAATCTGCACCCCTATTTCACCCGAGCGAGGTCCAGATTGATCACTAGTATTTGATAATATATGAAAAGGTCACCTTTTCATATCTACCACAAATATAAGCTGATGTAATTTCACTTCATAAAATATCACATCACATTAGAATTTCAGTAGCTTTAATATGATATTTCAAATTTAATCCTTCATTTTAATCAAAAAACCATATCTGTCTAATGAGTTATTCTTTAAATAGGTATATCAAGTTTATTCTATGTAATTTGAAATTGAATTCTTAACAGCAAATGAGGTAACGAATTTTTGGAAAGTCGACAAAACCATTTCTTCGTCGCTAGACTTCAAGAAGATTTTTTGTGTTCAAAATCAAATTAATTCAACTATTTCCGAATAACTCTAAACTAAAGTGTTACATTAAATTTATCCATTACAAGAGTTCTATGTGGCTTGAATCAAGTAGCCATTATGAAAGGAGTTAGTAGCCGCGAGCACGAAGCTTTCAACGTTCCTTTGAAGGTAAACACTTGATTGCTCACTATTGAGAAATACTTGCGTATATTACAAACGGTTGGTACATCTCGAGAAGACAACTATTCCATTAATTTGATTATCGATTCTGCAGTGTAGACTTGATCGCTTCAAATAAAAAGTTGAGCTATTCAGAAGTAAAATATCTAAAGACTGTAATTGATAAAAGTATTTAAAAAGTGTTGTACTTAAAAAAGGGGTATTATATAAGTTAATCAAAAAGGGAAAATCGAAGACCTCGAATGTGCAATGGTTACCGCGTTCGGTAGTTAAACAACTTTCGTGAGATCCGGTTATAGGATGGGTGAATAAAAATTTATTATACATCGAGCTTCGGAAGTACGTTAAGCCGTTGGTCGTTTCGGCTGCATCTATTGTTAACATCCGCCAACACACGATTGGCCCGCGTGGTGTTGGCCCGTCCTTCCAAGAGCAAGATCAATATGATAAACGGAATCAAGTGGAATCTAATAAAACTAATTAGATTCGACTTGAACAGTTGCCTTATTGTCTAATTTCAACATCTATCCCAATCCCTCGGTGGCGTAGAGGATAAGCGCCGCGGCCCGCGATCGTTGTCGTTAAGCAACTTTCGCAAGGGTCGGTCACGAGATGGGTGATCAAAAAATTATTATCTCGAGCTACTCCGTGCTTCGGAAGGTACGTTAAGCCGTTGGTCCCGACTGCATTTGCAGTCGTTAATACCCTCCAATTCGCATTGGGCCAGCGTGGAGGGTCATGACCTATCCTCCTTAACCATCCATAAGGAAGGCCTGAGCCCCTACAGTGGGGACGTAAAAGGGCTGATGATGATGATGATGATCGCAATCCCTTACAAAGACATAGCTATTGTGATGATTAATGTTGTTAACATTTAAACTCGCAATCGCATACAGAAATAATAAGGATTTCAATGATAAAGAAAAATATTGAAAACTTAAAATAATATTTGCGTCTAACGTATTTATCTTACACCCGGTTTCTGAATTTGAGATACGGATTTATTCTATATATCTAATTCAAACACAGATGCTACAGAATTGTAAATTTGAGTACATAAAAATATAATGTTTTTTGTGAAATGTCTTTCTGAAATAGATATTAATATTAATGATGTATCAAAGTTCTTTGAAATAAATAAAATTGAAATTGAAACGTAACGTCCCAAACTGTACTTTAACGTTACTCTTTCGTGTTTAATTTTAGTTTTTGTTATGATCAGTTAATAGCAGTTTCATTTAAACTAGGAAATATCCTCGTAAAAGGTAAAACATGTTATTGAGAACAATCAGTTGAGATATTATATCTTTTTCAATTCAGAAACCGGCCGTTTTTAAATTACATTCAAATTAGCGACAATATCGTTCATTCAATACCTTTCAACTAATCAGCGATTGCTATCACATGTCAAAAAGTAATAGCGTGAAGTTCGTGAATATCTTTCAAATGTCAAATAAAACTAGAAAATTAGGCCCCTATTAGGAGAGAATTGTTTTCCTTCAAAATCAAGTGCGACAAAATTCATAATTCCACCAATCGCTTGACCTCTTTTCAAAGGTATAGTGTTTTGTGGAATTATGTAGGTAACGTTCAAAGTTGCAATTACTTTCGCAAAGAATGATAATTTGAATAATCAAGAAACAGAAAAACTTAATGCAACGATTGATACTTATACAAAGTTGCGATTGTAGCGTGAAGTTCGTAAATGTCTTTCAAAAGTCATATTAAAAGGGATTGCAATAGCTTGTGCTCTAGACGAGGGCTCATCAATAATGTTGTTAATGTCTAGAAATCAAAGGAGTTGTCAAAATTACAACGATCAGCACAGAATACGATAAAATTGAAAATTTTATCAACTGACTTTTTTGAAATTGCGGTTAAGAATCGATTGAAGAAATTTGTCAGTTTCTTATATCGTGACATGTTGTGAACTATACAAGGACGAAGAATTAATAATGGTGTCTCATTTCGATGCAGTTGGTGGATGTTTATAACAACTACTAGACACGCCGGCGCCAAGGACGCGGTCGGAACTCGAGCGATAACAAACGCTAGCAATTTGCCATATTGATGGCTTTACGTATCAAGATTAAAAAGATATCTAAGAACTCTGCTTTTATTTATATACTTTACATTAAGTATTAGTTTAAGTATAATTATATTTAAAATAAAAGTGTATTAACTCAACTCCCCATTAGCCAGAATATTGCACGCCTATGTATTTTTTTAAATTTACTTAGTTTATAATTATATTCATTCAGTAGTCTTTAGACAGATGAAGAGCCTTTTGAGTTTGGATTTTTGTGCCTAATATTTTAACTCTAAAATTAGCTACAGTAAAAGTATAATATCTGAGTCGTGCGAATAAAAAATGTAGACTCCTATTTACTTTATTTAATCTTAAAGCTTCTTAAGCTATTTGCTATCCTTTATTTTAAGGGTTACTATGAACACCTATATATGATTAAATATATTTCTCATCGTCATTGAAAAAAAAACTGTCGATTTTTGTTATTATTCGTAAAATTTTAAGTTAGATATGAAATAATGTTACTCTTTTCCACTTTCAACTGTGCTGTTTAAATATCTTTTTGCTATTATTAAACTTCAGAAATATTTTTGAACAATTCGCGTGCATTACTAAAAGTGATAATTTATTATTTGAAAGAGTATTTATTTTTGTACAGCTCTTTTACCGCGACATTGCACGCATACAGCCTTTAACACCCATGCATGAGGTGAAAGAATTTTTCGAATCAGTCCGGTAGGACAAATAACCGTTTCTGGTGACTGCCCCTTTTTAGCCATTTAGCATTTCAAGAAGTTCTAACTAACGCATAGGTATTTTTTTACTTTATTTATCGTAAACGGTTTCTAAATTGTTACATTATGGGAAAACTAATATACTCGTAAAACAGCCGTGATGTGTCAAAGTTCATCTGGCCTAGTTTTGGTACCTATTCCATGCAATCAGATAAACAAATAATTAAATCTGTTTTTCTTTATAATATTATTATGTATAGATTTTAAATACAATTTAAATAAAGAAATCTAAACATTTAAGTAAATAGGTTAAATAAGTTAAAAATAATAAATAAAAACATTTAAGAAACTATTTATGATAAATCGTACCTATACTTTAAGGCAGAGAGGTTCACATACCTGATCAAGGCATCGCCATCTCTGAGGTTCCGAGTTCGATTTCTGATCTATAAATATATATAGGCTGTATATTATGCTACCTTCATTGTTTCAAATTTCCTTGAGCATAAATTTTAGCTACTTATTTTGGGATCTGATTAATCTGTGTCATGATTTGTAAATATTTACGGTTTCGCTTTATAAAAATATTCTAATGCTAATTAATAAAATGAATAAAAAGCGATATCCATTTGAAATCGCTTGAATCATGACATTGTCCCTTCTTTAAGTAACTAAGGCATGTTTGTGATAAAGTTGCAAACGTTCTGCGCTATTACTACGGTCTATCGATCTGAAAGTTACACGTTATAAACAAAGTTATTCCATGGTTTTATGTTCCACCGATATGTAAGCTGTGTTTTCTTTTTCAGAATCCATGTATCCACGATTCGCTGAACCAATACCAAATGTTACAGTCACTATAGGCCGGGATGCACTGTTAGCGTGTGTTGTTGAAAATTTAAGGGGATTCAAGGTAATTGAGTGATCAAGATATCAGGTCATAAAGTGTTAAAGGATATTGGCAAAACTGGGTGTCAGAGGAAAACTAATCAGAGGGCCTCTGTATGCCCACGGGAGAAAATTCGAAAGAAAGTTAAGATTATACGTCTTCAGACGCAATGTCAGATCCTTCCTTCATTGCAACATTAATTACCGAAAAATTGGTTTTTTGACGTTTTGAAAATAGATGAGATTTCGTTTTTGGAAAACAAAATAAGCATTGAGATTCTTCTACAGGAATACAATTTCTAATAAATAGAGGAACGTATTCCATATTCGGATATTGAATATATACCCTAATATGGTATATTTACTGATTATGGATCAATTTACGGATTCGTTTGGATTAATTCAACTTGTACTTAAATTTCTATAAACAATAATTTAGAAAGTTGTTTCAGTATTCCATTTGAGTTATACTATTCTATTTTTGATTGCTTTCCCTTAACTCAAATAATGACTTCCAGTTTCCCTATGTCCAAATATAATTTGTCCGTTACACAAATATCGAAACGATATTATCAATACAAATTTTCAAATTTAGAACATACATTAGAACTAGTCGATATTAAACCTTTATGTACGTTAGTGCTACTGGGCGTAAGTGTTAAGGTCCTATCTCTCGCTCGCCAATCTTCTTCCTGTTTTTCGAATTGAAGAGGATTCATAAATAATAAAAAGATCAATTGTTTTGTAAGCTTGACTGCAGATAACACGATTGAATGTCTTTGAATCATATTAGTTAATGATTTTGTGTAAAGAATTTTATACACACAAATCAAAATTAACTAATTTAGCATTATTGTCTTCAGGTTGCATGGGTGAGGATGGACACGCAAACCATATTGAGCATCCACCACAACATCATAACACAGAATCCTCGCATCAGTTTATCATACAATGATCATAGATCATGGTATCTTCACATCAAGGAAGTACAAGAGGTCGACAGGGGCTGGTATATGTGTCAAGTTAATACTGATCCCATGCGGTCAAGGAAAGGCTATCTCCAAGTTGTGGGTACGTATACTATCATTATCATCACCAACACTTTTACGTCCTCACTTCAGGAGCTCAGGCTTTTTTATGTCTTTATATTTTTTGGTCACCCATCCCGTGACCGACCTTTGCGAAAGTTGCTTTACAACAACGTAGCCGTATTTATCGTAGCCGCGGTGCTTATCCACTACGGAAAGTTATTATTAAGTAAAGCCAAATATGAACAACTTTGTTGGCCTGTAAGCTAAGAAAATAAGTAGGTTTTCTTTTACCTACTGAATTATAAATTTTACTGTAAACATTTTACTCTTTGAGTAATGTTAAACAAAACACATAATTCTTTTTTGTGAACTAAAAGTATAAAAGAATGTAACATAATTATATACGTTTATAAATCAAATTATCTGATTTATTGTAAAATAAATTACTATCCAATCAAATAAACCACGGAAAAATATAGTAAATTATGAACTTATTTATTACATATTTAAATTGCTTACCTAAACGATTTAGTGTTACAAAAACTTTGTGTCGTTTTATGAAATATCAGCCTTAAATCTATCACGTAGTTTTTTAGCTAATCAATATCAAAGAACTTTCTTACAGTTATAGTACTGATGGCTCATTGACTGTATCTATTCGTGTAGTGCCACCATCAATCATCGATAACATGACGTCTACTGACATGGTAGTGCGCGAGGGTTCCGATGTGACCTTGGTGTGTCGCGCGTCAGGGTACCCCGAGCCTTATGTCATGTGGAGGCGGGAGGACGGACAAGACTTCAATTACAACGGTGAATCAGGTATTTATTACCAACCTACTAACTTACATAAGAATACAATACAAAAGAAAATTCGAAGAATCACTAAAAATTATGTTTTTTACAAACAAGGCCGTTTTTTGTATAAGTCGATTTCGATAAAATTCAAATGAGACCTTAGGCCTATATAAGTTACTTATAGGCCTGTATTAATATTAAATCTAATATTATATCATTGTCAAGAATTTGCGGAATAATCGGTAAAAATACGTACATATAAAAAATAATATGCGGCGAATATAGAACCTACTTCTTAGAAACCATCCTTTTTTTAGAAAATATATTTTTTTCTTTTCGACATTTCTTTTCGAGAAGATTGAAAATTTTCACACCGATTGAACGACATAATACTTGTGGAATATTAAAATTCAATAAACGTAGTTCTATAACCTATGATTTGTGGATTCTTATACTTATTGTGAATTATGAACGTGCCAAAATTTATTTCTAATTAACCCTATTTATTTAGCTATTAAAATTTTCCGCCAATACTTTTTTCCAGAGAATCATTATGAAATATTGCGTTTATACTTTCACATTTTTTTCCATCCCAAAGTTCCTAAGCAAATAGGCACAATGGAGTCCAGTCTTTAATTACATATTTTTAAAACTACACAATTAATTATGTTTATATTGATCAGTTACAAACGTAATCAAAGGCATTAGGTTTTACAATTATTTTTCCATGAATAAGAAAGAATAAAGGATTTTATAATGTTAATACCTATAACTAAATATAATATTGTGATAATATGAAAATAATTTAATAGTCAACATATTTATGGGAAAGCGTAGGCAAGGGCTACAACTAAGCCGGATATTATCAGTAACCAGGAATTCCGCTACATGATTGTTGTTTCGTAATTGTCTGACTTATATAAGATCAAGGGGAACATAAGATGGTTCAATAAATAACAAATACATTATCTTAAATAGACAATACAAATTCAATGTTATTTCTTCAGTGTAGGCTGTTAATAAGAACTTGTGCAAATATTATGGTTGGACACTATATACTGAACAGACGAAAAACTCTACAAGAGTAGACACTATTTTTCCTTATAAAAATAGAACCATAATAAATGCTGTTTATTTATTAAAAAAGGTTTTTAATAAAAAAATATGAAAGTAATAAAACGTAGAGCTAAACGAAAGTAATTTCACATGTGTCAAAATTTCTTTCGTTAAACTAGTGTTTCCGTTTCGTGAGCTATAATTTTTTGGTCACCCATTCCTTACACGACTGTATCCACTACGCCACCAGGCTATTAAAAAGAGAAGATAGATATTAGCATTCTATTATTTATTTGTCACAGTGAGCGTGGTAGACGGTGAAACTTTAACTATCACCAAGGTGTCACGGCTGCATATGGGTGCATACCTCTGCATCGCCTCCAACGGCGTGCCTCCCTCAATTAGCAAACGAATTATGCTGATGGTGCAATGTAAGTATGATAATATTAAACATTAAATGTAATTTTTTGAGACTAACACTCATATAGATTCGAGGGAAATAATGACTTGAGAGTATGTTATAATTTAAGACATCTATACCTAATAAACAAACATTTGAATGAAGTAAGAACTATTCATAGTTAAAAAAAACTATTATAATTGATTATAAACAGAAGAGAGTTTACTTCGTTGAATTTCCCCTTTATTAGTTAAAAATATTTGCTTAAGATATAACAATAATACGAGCTGTCATACCTTTCCGTAGTTAGGCTTATAACAACTGCTAAGCTTAGTCATAGTATTTCAATATAAGTCAGTCTGATTCCAATACCCATCCAGAGCGCTTGCCTAGGATCCCTTGCTCTTCGCATATATAAATTGTCCCGAGTGAAATATTTGTTTTTTTTTAAGCCTATTCTTCTATCCCGTATAACAGAGCGTAAGGATTGCCTTTTATACTGCAAAAACAAAAAAAAATTGATGTCCAATATCATATCTTGGCGAAATCGTATGATACAGTCAAGTGTTAGAAACATGTAACTATCTGGAATCTTAAAAATAATTGACCTCAAAACATAAGCAATAGTTTTACAAATAAAAAATGAACTTTCATAAACCATATACTAGGCTGTTTTCAAGTACCTTAAAGCAGATTCAAGTGTTGGCAAGGAAAAAGATAGACTATTCAAATCACTTGTGTTAATTATAAAGAGAATTTTGCCCTTTGATGTGCTCAAAAATGAACAGCATTTTTCATAAACTTATACTCTACTAGCAGTGTATGTTTGATATTCTGCAACTAAATTTTATAGCAGTTATTTTTACTTTTAAATAAGGTTTAATTAAGATGACGACGCATGCTAAACTTAGGCCAAATTACTTTAATTATATCTAATATGGCGGATCTACCAAGATGGCGCAGTGACCTAAAATTGTCACGATATGGGTTTCAAATATAAAAGCTTACTGATAAGTATGAACAAGTAAATTGATTTCATTTTAAATCCAAAATGGTGGACCACACAAGATGGCCTTTATGCATTCATAATTTGTGTATGAAATGTAAGGGTGTATTGAGAAGATTATGTTAAACAGGCTTTTATCATCTTCAGGCTTGAAAGAAAAAGATAACATTGACACATAAGCTGTTTCTCATCGCCCGAAACTCGTGATAGTCGATTGTGGATATGGGTTTAGCGGCTTTACCATCTAACTAAATATACTATTGGTACAAATAAAGTCTTTTTTATATTTCTCCGAAAACGAAATTTCGTCTAATTTAGAAATGCTTATACGACACCGAAGATTTTTTTAGATAATTTGATGTATCTAATTCACAGATATAATCTTCGCCGATTTGATTTTAACAAAATTATTAGAAAATAAAAAAAACTAATTTTCGTTCGAGGACAAATAGAAAAGGCCCTCAGGTGGCATGTAAATTCACACGAATTATATAGCATTTTCCGGCTTTCATTCGGAGAATGACTAAGATTGGTCTGTCTCATTCTAGAACAAATCTAATTCTTTTATGATGCATTTCCTCAGCAGCCTATTAATATCCCGACCACCGGGGCTTAGGTTTTCCCTTTTGATGGCATGAGCCACAACCTATCACGCGGGCCCAGTTTGTGTTGGTGGGTGTTAACTACTACAGATGCAGCCGGCGCCAACGGCTTAACATTCCTTCCGAAGGACCGAAAAGGAGCTCGAGATAATAAGTTTTTGATCACCCATCCTATGACCGGCCCTTGTGAAATTTGCTGAGCAACTCATCGCAGACCGAGCACGTTAATACTGCGCTATCGAGCTAATTAACTATAAAATGATACAATTATAATAACAAAAGTTGAAATACAATTATCATACAAAAACAGTTCCTCCGATGCTGTCGATACCAAACCAACTGGAAGGCGCATACATTGGACAGGACGTGACGTTGGAATGTCACACAGAAGCTTTCCCTTCCTCAATTAATTACTGGACCACAGACAAAGGAGACATGATCATTTCCGGTGAGACTTTTACATTTAAACTTTCTTACTTTCTTTATGTAAATAAGATTTTATACTTTTAAAAATATTTTAGGGCTTACTCTTGAAATATACATATTATATAATATATTGCAATTATAATGCTTTACTGAAAAATATTCTTAATAAAAAATGCTTCAATAATCCACCAAGCACTCTGAAATGGGACTGGACATGGGACTGGACATGGGGCTGGAGGATTATTTAAGGATTTTCCATTAAGAGTATATTATGATATTTCATTTTACATCCGCCAATTATTGCGAAGCTGTGAAGAGATTGTTAGCTATGCTATCAAAGAGTTTTGTAACAAACTTCACATCACATCAGCAGCTTAATATTGTCGTCGAATAGGGAGAATGGGCCATGACCCGCGATGCATGCCCAGTGTGGATTGTTGGTTATTAACAGCTATATGCAGATGGCCAACGGCCGGAGCACGGAGCTCAAGATAGTAAATCCAATGTAAGCCATTGCGAAAATTGCTTTCCTATCGTATCGCAGTAAGAGCGCGCTAGCCACTACGCACTATCGAGCTCCTCAAACAACAAAGCTCCTCATAACAAAAAAAAATCTTAATGTCGACATTTTTCATTTATAATTTTTCATGTAACAACTAAACAACATCTCATACATTGCCCAGACACGAAATTAAGTAGCTGAAGCATTGTGAAAATGTGAAACAATGAAGCCAAAATTCATTTTCTATATTGACCCAACTGAAAATCGAGCCTAAAAACCATTTCGAAATTTAATGTATATTTTGTATGTTTATTGAAGTATTCTATAGAACATTTCATGTTCTATAGAATACTTCAATAAACATACAAAATATAGATAGTAGAAGTTACAATAATAAATGACTGACAGGTTATATTTTTTTAGAACAACGTTATTGACAGTTAAATGTAAATATACGGAAGAAAAATGCGGTGAATGTTTTTCATCGAGTATCTATGTTTATCTAATAAACTATTATGTTTAATGGCAACAAAGACAGGTTTTATATTTAAGTAGAAATGGAAATTGTAGGTGGAAAATATGAAGCGTTCCCGACGGACAGCGGCTATAACAAGTATATGATGTTGAAGATAAGGAACATCACCAAAGACGACTTCGGCTTTTATAAGTGTATCGCCAAAAATTCACTCGGCGAAACTGATGGCATTATCAAACTCGATGGTAAGATGTAGATGCAGATATGATAGGGAAACATGTCAGATTGAAATTGCATAGTGTAATTATTTTTATTTTCAAAAAATACTACAGTTTCTGCTTTCGGAAAAAATATTTCATTGTTTTTAATGATAGTCAAACTGAAAATCTCCTTTTATTGAAATCGGTAATATAACTAAACCACTTTAGTGCAATAAATACCTTTCTGAAAACCACATCAAATACAAACACAGATCAAATTGAGAACATTCTCCTTCTCTTTTTTTGAAATTTGTTAAAAAATAACTTTGCATTATAAGATGATTACTTTTTTCACTCAAAACCGAATTTATTTCTTGGGGCATTATTTTAACATATTTTTAATTTCAGAAATACCAGCACCACCGTCTGCGTATACAACTACTCAGAAAAGTATTTTAGACAATCAAACCATTAGAAAAAAAGGTAAGTTAGCATTTGTAAATACAACTAAGCATATAAACACTTAGAAGTAACTTGTTAGTGATTAATTATTGAAAATACTCTTTATTGTCTTCAACTTCAGTTCCTTTATTATCAAATTCTTATTTGCTCTACTGCTTCTCAAATAATTGGGAATAAAGAAGTAATAGTTCTTCTTTATGTGTAATTATTTCAATAGGATGTGTGTAAGTCTTCCATTCTCCATTACGCCAGTCATGCATAATAAATACAATTCTCTCATCTTGATCATAATCTTCATCTTTCATCTTTCTTTCCACCCCACAATAACTGTCGACTTCCTGGTTACGTTACTAAAACAATATTATTAGAATGGATGGAGCGTGCCTATATTCTAACTGCGTCTGTGCTATGACGTCATTACCACCCTGTTTATGTCACCATTGCTGGGGCTCAGGCGTTCCCTATATATGGAAACGAATCATATCGAATAGTGAGAACGGGCCATGACCCACCACACGGGCACAGTGCGGATTGGTATTAACGACTGCAAATCCAGCTGGGACCAACGGCTTTACGTGCCTTCTAAAGCACGGAGGAGTTTGAGATAACAAATTTTTGGTTACCTATTGCGAAAGTTGCTTAACAATAGTATCATAGACTGAACGCGCTACCCACTACACCATCGAGCTCCTCTGGCATAAAGTTGTAATAACACCCTTAACCCCTTTTAAGTTATTGGTAACCAATAAGTAGTCAAAATCAAAACAATTTTATGTTAGTACCGTACTTACTTCGAACGAAGACTTCGTTACAAAGTTCGCAGAATTATGTTAAGTAACGGAAAGTTCGTAATAATAATATTTCAATTTTACCTCAAGCGTCAAAATTAATCAACAAAATTCAATGAATTTTCTAATTTTTATCACTTATAGCTGTCTTCCACGACTTCCGTGAAAATTATAACCGATGCCAACCACGTATAACATATTTTCCCTGTAATCTCGGACTCTATTTAATGCAAACAAACCATAAATTCTTTCCTCTTTATTTTATAAGTTGAAATTAGAACATGACAGAAAATAAAAAAAGGTAGAAACTTTCACAAATCAACAAGATCTCTCATTGATCTATAACTACATAGATTTTTTAGAGCTAAGCCTAAAACAAATAAAAACGCAGTACGTACTCCAGGCTAGGATAACATCAATATGATATATATTTTTTGCAAACCATTGAAATGAAATAGCTTAACGGTGCTTTCATAAATCGCATGCAGATCTAATAAAGATGAAAAAATTCATGAAATACAAATTGATTAACCAGAAATGACCAATGAGAAACAATGCAAAGTTTTATATTTTCAGCACAGAAATTAATTGTGGTATAAATAATAACAAATACTTTATATCTGATTAACAGATAAATTGTCATCAGCGCATAAAAATGAAGTGATCAGCTCAAATTTCCAAGGCGGTGCGTACGTCGAACAAATGAAAGATTTCGGTGAGTTCAAAAATTATATGTTGCATTTTTCTATCATAAACGTTTATTTTACGTTACTAAATTGACCGTCGCGTCGGACTAATTTAATAGAAAGGCATCAGTTGTAATTATACTACAAATCCCACACATTTTTTTTCCATCAGTAAAAAAATATGAGGCGGTTCCCAGAACATCATTTTATTAGTCATCATTTTTGTAAGCAAGAAGAGTTATTATACTTTCTGTTATTCACTGGACAATTCCGCTAAGATGAAGCGCAAATCCAAATATTTACTATATGACAAATCTTTTACCAAATATTATAAGAACAAAATTTTATTGATATTTTTTATTCTTTTACAGATATAGATGTTTACGACAACTCAGCATATCCAAGAAAATTATGTTTCTTATTGTTTTTGATACTTATTTACCATATAATAACATTAGCGAGATGTAATTCGCTTTCTTGATAAATATAATAATTGTTATCATGTGTGATATTTTTAAGTTACTGACTGTACATTTACTTTTATTCCATTAATTCTTAATGGACAATAATAAAGGGTTTAGCCGGATACGTATGACGAGTCGGCCCCCAAATGGGAATCGATATTGAAACTTATGTTTTAATATAGACTTGATGTTCAAACACGATTTATGTACTTTTCGCGACCGACTTCCGCTTTGACCTTGAGATAGAGAGCAAAATATCCGTATGCTTGACTATTACTGAATGTGATATATCTCTGAAGCTAATTAAGATAAAGAAGTGAAACTAACGCGAGGTGTTAGGTTACATTACAGAGTATATCACATAATTTTTTTTATAATTTTTAGAATAAAAAATTACATTAAAAAAATAAAAATAAAAAAAACATGTTTTTTTTCTGAGTTCTCTGTGACTTACAATCACGAAATTAATATATGTTATGCTCCTTTGTGTGCTCTATCACCCATAAAAATTGCGTGAAAAAAAAGTTGGTGCAACACAACAAAAAAAAATTATATGTGATTCGCGCCTTGTAGTGTGAGTGTATAAACAAACAAGTTCGAACTTGTTATCGAGCTGTTTACTGCATCGTTTGTTTAGCTAAAGTAGCAGTCATTTGTATTACACAAGAAGGCAGTTTGGGACTCAAATTCTGTCATAGGTATTTTGTATCAGCATTTTGAAATTATTAACTATCGAACCAAATCATTATTAAGTAATAATGTCGAGAAAGTGTAAAAATTGTAACAAGTGCCTGTGTAAGATTCCTGGTTATAAAAAAATTATAAAGAATGAAGAAGAAGCTAAAGTGTTTAGTGACTGTTTGAATAAAATCGTAATAGTTAATGATATTTTATGTAAGACGTGTCGACTTATCCCATATATTAACAAAAAAGCTTCTACTTCTAAATGTGCAGCATTTAACTTGGCCGAAATAATGGACGATCAAAATAATCTCTCAGTACAATATGTGAAATCAGCACCTAATATCATCAAAGCAGAAGTAAAATCAAGACATATAAATAGAAAAGTCTATCGAATTTACATTCACTATATTTCCAAAGGTAATGACTACAATAGTATTCTTCGTTATTGCTGTGATTGCCCCAATGGCAAACGTACAGTGGGATGCTGTTCTCATGTAGCAGCTATTATTTATTATCTATCATATGGATGATATTTGTCCAAAATCGTACGTCCTGCTGAGGTCCCTACTAAGTTATTTGCGACTCAAAGTGTTCCGATTGTAATTAATTACAACAGTGACGATGATTAATATTTTGTTTCTTGTATTTTGATAGACACGAAAAAGTAATAATAATAAGTATTGAACACTGGCGGTTTTTTTTTTCATTTCTTTTTTAACTATTTTCCCATCTCTTAAGACTAGTTACTTATGTTTTAAAACAAGCTGATGTGAAATTTCGAAAAAAAACAATGAAAACAATGAAAACCTTATAATACAGGAGTATACCATAAGACAGAAATTACATATAATTTTTTTTCGTTGTGTTGCACCAACTTTTTTTTCACGCAATTTTTATGGGTAATAGAGCACACAAAGGAGCATAACATATATTAATTTCGTGATTGTAAGTCACAGAGAACTCAGAAAAAAAAAACATGATTTTTTTATTTTTTATTTTTTTAATGTAATTTTTTATTCTAAAAATTATAAAAAAATATATGTGATATACTCTGTAATGTAACCTAACACCTCGCGTTAGTTTCACTTCTTTATCTTAATTAGCTTTAGAGATATATCACATTCAGTAATAGTCAAGCATACGGATATTTTGCTCTCTATCTCAAGGTCAAAGCGGAAGTCGGTCGCGAAAAGTACATAAATCGTGTTTGAACATCAAGTCGATATTAAAACATAAGTTTCAATATCGATTCCCATTTGGGGGCCGACTCGTCATACGTATCCGGCTAAACCCTTTTTGTATATTTAATTTTAGCAACAGAGGTTTAACTGTATCTTTATAGGTTTTGACTAATACCTACTCGTGTAATTCAAGCGACGTTGTCTCGACCACTTCAAAAGCTGCTACGGGACAGTGCCAATTCTGTTGTGTTTCTCTCTAAACTAAATAAAACTAAACTTGGATTGATTTTAACGTTATTATCTAGTAACATGTAATCAAATAAATGTAAATATAATTCTAATCTTTAAAATCGACATTTAGTATATTCTTTCGTCATTTGTCCTGTTCTAACATAAGTATGTTTAGTGTGAGAGCAGGACATAGTACGAAAAAGTTAAATACGCAATATATCTAAAATTGGTTCTAACAATACAACCCCTTTTTGCTATATTATTAATGTGTTTACTTTTCTCATCTTAGTTATTTGAAGCATTTATTTGTAAATGAAGTTTGTCAGGATTTAAATTATATTTATTTTAGTTTGTGCAACAGAATTGCCACATATTTTAAGTAAAATAATTCTTGTAGAATGGGTTGATAATAATTCAATGCCAAAATAATTGTCTCCGTAGCAAAGTTAACACAGATGTCTGGAAGTGGATTGGGTTCGATACTCAGTTTAGTTGGTTACATTAGGAAATTTATAATTTTAAAATAAGTTACTTAAAAATATTGTACGCTGAGAACGATAGTGACACAATGCAAAAAATTCGTTTTTCAGTAGTGACCGTTTAAAGTTCAAGAAATTGTAATCCGCCTCTCTGAACAACGTATCGTCACTACGCCACCTATGCAAACTACGTTCACAGGGATCTTTGTATTTTAAAGTTTATACTTAACAAAGAAAAATTTTGTCAAAACTAAAAAATACGTCGTTTTTGGTTAGTGACATTGTCATTCTCAACGTGCGATATAAATATTGATTACAATAAAATTGAAGTGGGGGTTGATATCTTGCGTTTTATTAAATTATTATTATGATTGACAAGATTTTTTGAGAAATCTGTAATTTTTTAACTCAACAATTAAATTTATAAACGATATTTTTTATTCATTTTTGTATATTTATATAATTTTTATACAATCTTCATCTGCATCGATTTGTAAAAATGCCTAAATAGAATATTAAAAATAGATTAATAGACAAATCTGTCCACATTCAAAGTAAAGTAGCAAACAACGATATATTTGTTTCGATCATTCTTTAGATTAATGTTAACAATTATGACACTTTATAGATACTTAATAGTTAAAAAAGTATACATACATCAATATGCATTACTACAAAACGCCTTATTTCTGTATTCAATTTTGAACTATTTTATTAACATATTAAAACTTAAAATCGATTAGAGAAATGTCGCCTTTTGTAGTAAATTGATGCGCTGCGACTGTACTTTTGCTTAGTAGGAAAAATTATTTCATACTTGCTTTTGTGGAAATATGTTATATTTTAAATAATTGTATTCAGAGATAAATTTCAAGTGATTTTCGGATTGGAGCATATAGCGGGGCACTAAGTGTATAAACTAAACAGTTTTGATCACAGATCTAACCTAACCCAACCTAACCAATAGTTATTTACTGCGTTATATACGAAAAAATCAGATATTAAAAATATTTCTAAGACTTTTTTCTTCAGTGCTCCGTTATGTATATTTCAATGGACTTTTGCATTAAATGTTAGGAATATAGAGTAAGCCAATAGTGGTAAGTAAGCAACTAGAATTTTTGTAAACAGGTAATTGTTTTAGCCATTGCTACAAATGGAGCTGCCAAATAAATGTATAAAATAACAATAAATTAAAGCTTAAAATGAATTTTCCGTTTTTAATTTCATTTGTGTAAAAATCATATTAAAAAAATATCCTAAAGCATTTTATATAAGTGGTCAAACAAACACGGAAGTTGAGTCTTATGTGTTTGTGGCATAAAGGTTTGTATTTGATATAATTTGCATTAACAATGATAGAAAAACACTGCTTATTTATTTATTTATTTAAACTTTATTACAAGAACAGCAAAAGGCGGACTTAATGACTTATCGCTTACCTGACCACATAAAGACAATACAATTCAATATGTCACAGTCTAACAATCTTGAGAATCAAACTATTTAATCATAGTAGTTGAGTAGCTTGGTAGCGTAGTGGAAAAACGCCGCGGCCCGCTATTGGTTATTGTTAACCAACTTTCGCAAGAGTCAGTGGGATGGGAGACCAAAAATTGTTATCTCGAGCTACTTCAGAAGGCACGTTAAGACGTTAGTCCCGGCTGCATATACAGTCATTAATACCCTTCAATCCGCATAGCGCCCGCGTGGAGGGTCATAGCCCATCCTCCGTAACCATCCATAAGAAAAACATAAACCCCCGCATAGGGAACGTAAAGGAGCTAATTTTGAATCATAGTTCAAGTTTATCAAGACTGATCGTGTCTTAGTTTATAAATTAATAATACTTTAAAATCGATGATAACTATTAAACTTTCAATACGTTGAATACAAAGAGCCTAACTTACTACAGTCGCCTATACCACCAATTGGAGTCTCAGCCACAATATTCATTAATACTTAATAATACAATCTCTGTACATTGCCCCCAGCTGTCTAAAGCAATCGATACGTTACTTAGTAATTTACTGCACTCGACTTTTATGCTGGAGAATTTCCAATAGCATTGGGCATCGGGTTAAGGTGGCAATCTCTACAAAAGCGAGCAATCGACGCCATTTTTAACCCGTTCGAAATCGGTGTGGCCTTACTTCAAGAATCTCCAATTGTACAACGTTAAAGACTTGATATTCTCTTTCATTTCTAAATTTGGATAAGGAATACACCACGTCGCTATGTTTATAGTGTGTATTTTAGTTCAAACACAAATGTTTGATGAATTTCTGTACTCTTCTTAATATGATTACATAAAATAGAGTCAATCATATTATCCATATCTATAAAAATATTATAAAGTCCTTGTTTGTTTGCAACGAAAAGGCGCCGAAACTACTAGACCGAGTTTAAAAATTCTTTCACCTAGGGAAATGCAATAAATATAAATAGGCTATATTTTATCCCGAAAATCAGCAAATGGAGGGATGAAAATGGAAGTGAGATTTTGTATAGGGAATTAAAACGTTAACATAATAACTTTTTATTATTATATATTAATTTATCAATGTAATTATATCCATGTCATGATTTAATTCGATATCCAATTAAACAGTTAACTAACAGGGACCACGCTGGCGGAGAGCTAGGAGAAATATCGGCAATGGGCGCTTTCAACAATATTTTAAAATATAAAACGTGGGTTAGTTTGGGTAAATATTTAACTTTGTTTCAAAAATGTATAAAGAATCAATAATATTTAATATGAAGGTTTTAATTAATTACCTATCATCATAGCATTCTAGCTGTTTTACCGCGACTTCGCCCACGAAAATTATCATTCGTGTACGATGAAGATTTCCGTTGGTATTTTTTTTAATTAATTTATTTTATTTATTTATTATAATTGAAATAATAGTATAGGTTATCACAAGCTCAACATTAAGGCCAATAAAAGTTTTCACAT